AAAAGGAAAAGGACCTATATGAACAAAACTATTTATAGCAACTTTTTGTGGTAGCAAAGAAGTGAAAATTGAGGTGATGCCCATCACTTGGGGAATGGCTGAACAAGTTATGGTAGATGATTGTGATGGAATCCTATTGTGCTATAAGAAATGATGAGCAGGTGGACTTAAGAAAAACCTGGAAAGACTTTAACATGAACTGATGCAAAGTGAAGTGAGCAGAACCAGGAAAACTTTATACAAAGGACCAGTAATGTTGTATGATTATCAGCTGTAAATGACTTAGCTATTCTTCCCAATACAATTCCGAAGGACTTATGATGAAAAATGCTACCCACCTCCAGAGAAAGAACTGATAAAGTCTGAATGCAGATTGAGGCCTACTTAAAACTAAACTTCTTGGTTTTGGTCTATTTTCTTTTGCAACACGGCTAATATAGAAATATATTTTGCATGACTGCACATATATAATCAATATCAAATTGCTTGCCTTTTTAATGAGGGGTGAGTGGAAGAAGGGAGAGAATTAGGAACCCAAAATTTAAAAAAAACATGAATGTTAAAAACGTTTTTGTTGTCATTTTGAAGAATTCATTTTTTATTATTTTGTGGTGGCTATGCTTTCCACTTACTTACACTTTAGTCATTACTTTATAGCAGTCATTGTTTACTGGATTCTCTTACTACCTATGGGACCTCTTTTCAGTCTCTTTTGATTGGATCTTCCTCCAGATCACACCCTCTACCAGTAGATGTCCCTCAGGGCTCTGTCCTGGCTCTTTTCTCCCTCTATACTATTTCACTTGGTGATCTCATCAGCTCTCATGGATTCAATTACCATCTCTATGTCCATGATTCTCAAATCTATTTATCCAGTCCTAACCTCACTGCTAATCTCCAATCTCATATCTCCAACTGCCTTTCAGACATCTTGAACCAGGACAGCTAGGGCCTAATTCCAAATTGCTTTCCAGGTTGTAGTACAGCTCCACCAACAATACACGGGTGCCTGTCTTTACAACCCCTCTAGCACTAATGCCACATTTTGTACTCTTTGTCAATTTACTAGCTGTGAGGTGAAACCTCTGGTTTTTTTTGATTTGCATTTTTCTTTATTAGTGATTTAGAACATTCTTTTACATGGCAATTAATGATTTGCAATTCTTTGAGAAGTATTCATATTCTTTAGCCATTTATCAACTGGGGATTGGCTTTTCATCTCATATTTGTTAGTTGTCTGTATATCTAGGATATCAAACCCTATTTGGAGAAATCTAATAGAAAGTGTTTCCCCCTCCCCCATCTTATTCTTCTTATCCTAGATGTAACAACTTTTTGAAAAATTTTAAAATTTTTATGTAATCAAAATTATTTTATCTTTTGTAGTTACCACTATTTTTTGGTTTGGTTAAGAACTGATCTATAAATAGCTGTGAAAGTGTTATGATATATAAAAAGATACTATTTATAGAGTGCTCAGCATAATGTCTAGCACCTACTAGATGCTTAATAAATGTTTACTCCATGATTTACTGATTTTTAAGTCTTTTATGGTATTCTCTTCTAATTTTTCAAAGTATTAAAACTTAATTGATTTTTTTTGACAAAAAAAGACACTTTCTAAACACCTACATGCCCTCCTGTGCAAAGAACACTGCCCAAAGATGGTTAAAATTACCCAATATTGAGTGATTTTGATAGGTAGCACATATCAATTTCTACTTTTGTAGTTTATCAATTGTTACCAGAAAATGGTGTGTTTTAACTATAAAACCTTGGTACAACATTGTTCACTGTCCCTGCTTTGAGTCTGGTTGACTTTTGGTGTTGTCTTTACTGTTTACATTATTACTGTTGAAGTAATAATGTATATTATTCTTTTGGTTTCTATTTCGTACACAGTTGTGGTTTTTGAAAGTTTAGAGTTCAGTGATTTTTCTCCTAGCCCCTATGTTTCTAGCTGGTTGGCATATGCAATTTGTTTTCCATTGTAATAAATTTGCTGTTTGCTACTTTAGTGGATTTTTTGGAGGATTCTTATTATTTTATCTTATGTTATTCATAGAGACAGCCTGGCATGACGGCTAGAGAGTTGGCTTTGGAGTCAGGAAGACCTGGATTCAAGTCCTACCTCTATAACATCTTAGCTGTGTGAAGACATTAACTCCTTTGTGCTCTAAGTAACTCTTAGACAAAACTGCAAAGCAGTTTGCATCAGTAGAGGGAATTCTCACGGGTCCAGTTTAAACAAACAAACAAAAAAAAAATAGAAAATTCTTCATTGGCCATCATCTTCATTAATTCCTCCCCACTTCTTTGTAGCCCTTAGTTCTTGCTTAATTTCTCATATAATAGTTTACTTTTTTCAAGCTCTTATTTGACCTTGTGATTTTTGGAGCATTGCCAATTCCTGCTTAATTTATTTAAAAGTGACACATCCACTAAAGACATCTATCAAGAATCTTGCAGTTTCCTTGTTCTTTATTGGTTCTCTGCCAATTTCATTGGTCTCACCATGTTAAACTGTACTGACATGCTGACTTATTTTGAAACTTTGTGTTTAAGCTGTTTGGTTTGGTATTTCTATCTATTCTTTTGCCCCTTTGTAGGACAATGATCCTCTTAATCTGATTTCTTTATGTATGACATTTTAAAGACTCTTGTGTTTCTAAAACGTCTCCCCAGAGAAAGGTATAAGCTATCCCTGAATGGTCACATTTTTCAAAACAAAACCCCATATTCCCCAATAAAGTCCATACTTTCACAAGTGAATCTTCTCTTCCTGGACACTGTCATTTCCCAAGCCAGCCTTATCTCTCCAGAGCTCTACTTATACTATACCTCCTTAAAGTAGGATGTCTTCATTAACTTTGCCTTCACTTCCTCCACTTATTTATATGCTTCCTGTGTCCAGGACCCTTTTCCCATGGGGTCTGGACTCTTTAGAGGCACCCCTTCCACAGTCTCTTAAACCTTACCTCATATTCTTTTTTTTTTTTTTGCTGAGGCAATTGGGGTTAAGTGACTTGCCCAAAGTCACACTGCTAGTGTCTGATGCCACATTTGAACTCAGGTCCTCCTGACTCCAGGGCTGGTGCTCTATCCACTGCGCCACCTAGCTACCCACCTCATAGATTCTTAAAAGACATTTTGACTTTGAAGGATCCTTAGAGACTATCTAGTCTAACTCTTTCATTTTACAAATGAAAAAACTAAGAGCCATATAGGTTAAATAATTGGCATATGGTCACAAACTGAGTCAATGGCAGCACCACAGCAATGAACCCAGATCCTGACTCCTAGGCCAAGCTCTGATGAGGATTTATCAACTTTGCCCACAGTGTTCCAGAATCTCGAGGTCTGAAAACTTTAATGGTTATCAATTTTAATACTTGGCTAAGCTAGAATCCTTTCCTGTAACATCCCAAGTAGTTATCCAGCCTCTGTCTGAAGGCTTTTAGAGATTGGGCCAGTTCATTATACTGTTGGACAACTAATTCTTAACCTAAAAAATTTTCTTATATGGGGACCAAATATATCTGTCTTCTTTCACTAGTTGTTGCTGTATGGTGCTTGGCAAACAACCAGCACTTAGTAAATACTTGATTTTAATAAATGATTGGTTGGGTACCAAAAAGAATTAGAGCAATCCTTCTTCCATATGAAACAGCTGTCATAAATTGCTAAAGGGTATGAAGAAAGAGTTCTCAAAAGAACAACTGCAAAAATAAAAAGCATATGAAAGACCCCCTCAGATCTATAACAAATGCAAATCAAAATAACTGAGGTTTCTTCTCACACCCAGCAAACTGCAAAGGTGACAAAACAAAATACCTCAAGGTGGAGGAACTCCAGAAAGAGGCATACAGATAACACTACTGATGGAACTGTGATTTGGTCCAACTGCTAGGCATATATCCCAAGAAGGTCAAAGACAGAGAGGTACTAGATACACCAAAATATTCATAGCATTTTTTTTTTTTTTTTTGCTGTGGCAAAGAAATGGAAACAAAGTACGTGCCCATTCACTGGGGAACTGCTAACCCAAAGTATGGTATATAAATGAAATGGATTACTGAACCATATTTGAAGATGCAAGGCAAAGTATGCAGAACCGGGAAAATATTATCCACAATGACTACAAAAATATAAATGGAAGGAAAAAAACCAACCCAAACTTGCATGCAGTGTAATGACACTGGTTACACTGGCTAAGCCTGGCCCGGGAGAAAAGATGAAAAAATGTGCTTCCCTCATTTCATTGCAAAAGTGGGGTGCCATGATGCGTAATGTTGCTTACACCTGCAGACAAGGTTGAAATGTTGGATAATTTTGAACTGCTTTTCTCTCTCCTCTTTTTAAAAAGCTATCAATAAAAATAAGATAATTGAAAAGAGCCGAAAGCTATCATGACTCAGTGAGTCAACAAGCATTTATCACGCCCCAGTACACGCCTGACACCGCTAACAGCCAGGGATACAATGAAAGGCAAAAAACCCTGCCTTGAGGGCTTGGGGTCCCGGCAAGTTTCTCTCCTTCGGGGACCCTCAGTTTCCTTTTCCTCCCGCCCGGTGTTTGTGTGTGGGGGGGGGAATTAGAACCAGAGGGATCTCAGGGATCCTTACCTTGGTGAAAAAGTCTCAATAACTCGCTCAGGGAAGGAGTCTCCCTCCGGCGCTGGTCTGTCTGGCGTTTCACCACCTGCGCAGCCGCCTCCGCCCGACCCCTGGAGCCGCAGCCAGAGACGCGAGAGCCCTTCGTGTCCAACTTCTCCCGCCTTCCTTCCTCCAGAACGCCCAGTCTAGGGAAGACGGACGTCAGCACTGGCCAATAGGAAGCCGAGCGACGAGGTTTCGCAGCCTCAGCGGGCGCCGAGCGCATTCGAACGAGCCCCTCCGGTTGCCAAGGGCCCGCGGCGTGGCAGTGAGCGCACCGTTGATTGGTCAGCGGGAAAGCGGGAGCCAATGCCGAGAGCCCTTGGTGCGGGCTCCGTAGCGAAGGCGAAGCGTCTGGAGCTCCGCTAGCACTGGTCCTAAAGCTTGCTGGTTAAGGTCTTTGGGCTGGGCGAAAACGGTGATTTGGGGGAGAGAGGGGTCATTAACAACCGTAGCGCAGCCCTCCTCCTCCCCGGCCACGAAAATGCCTCTTGGGCTCAGGAGAGACCGTAGGAGCCAGTTTGTAAGTAGAGACTCACTTGTTGGGCCCCTGGGCGTCAGGAAGTAAAGGCCCGGATTGGACTTGGAGCTTCGGGCTCCGGCCGCCTTCCCTCCTCCTCATTCTCCCCCCTCCTCCTCACTATCCTCCCCTCCTCCTTACAGTCCTCCCTCCTTCTGCTCCTTATTCTTCCCCTCCCCTTCTTATTGCCCCTTTTCCTCTCTCTTTTCATGCTCCCTCCCTCCCCTTCTTATCCTCTCTTGTCTCTTCTCTCCTTCTTTATCTCATTCTTATTTCCCCTTTCCTTCTCCCTTCCCATCCTCTTCTTATCCCCCCCTCCCCCTCCTTCGCTTCTTCCCCTATTTTCTCTTCTTCTTCCCCTCTTATCCTTCTCTTCTCCTCCCCTCCCTTCCCCTTCTTATTTTCCCTCCCCTACTTTCTCATCCTCTCCTATATGTCTTCCTTCTTAACCTCCCTTGTCTCTTATCCTTCTCCTCCTCTCTCCCTTCTTAGCTTTCCTTCTTCCCCTCTTGTTCTTCCTTTCCCTGCCCCTTCTTTCTTGCCTCTCCCTCAGTTATTCATTCTTATCCGACCTTCCTCCTCCCCTTCTTATTCCTCCTTTCCTTCTTATCTTCCCCCTCCTCTCCATTTTTTTTACTCTCTTCCTTCTTATTCCCACTTTTCCTCTTCCTTCTAATCCTCCCAACCCCTCTCCACCCTTCCTCATCTCTTTTTCCTTCTTTTCTTACCCCTGGCTTCCCTCCTCTTCCTCCTTCCTTTCTCCCACTCCTTTTCCCATCTTCCATCTCTCTTCTCCTTCTCTTCCTCCTTTCCATTCTCTTCTTTTCCCTTTCTTTCCTTTCTCCTCTCCTCTTAATTCATACATTCAGAGCCTAATGTGAGTTGTTGTTGTTCTGTCTGACTCTCCATCTCATCCTCTGCCGTCCCCTTTTCCTTTTGCTTTCAATCTTTCCCAACATCCTGTCTTTTCCACTGAGTCCCATCTTCTCATTATGTGGCCAGAATATTTAAACTTCAACTTCAGTATTTAACCTTCCAGTGAATAACCTGAATTAATTTTTTTAAGTGTTGACTGACTTGATCTCCTTGCTGTCCAAGGGACTCTCAAAAGGCATTGCCAACACCACAATTCGAAAGATCTGTTCTTTAGTGCTCAGCTTTCCTTTTAGTCCAACTCTCACAGACATACATTGCTACTGGAAAAACCATAGCTTTGACTATGCGGACCTTTGTCAGCAAGGTAATGTCTCTGCTTTTTAGTATGCTGTCCAGATTTGTCCTAGCTTTCCTTCCAAGGAGCAAAAATCTTTTTTTTTTTTTAAATTTTTCCCCCAATTACAGGTAAAAACAATTTTCAACATTGGTTTTTAAAAATTTTGAGTTCCTGATTGATTCTCTCAGTCCCACTCTCCCTGTCCCCCTTTCTCTCTGCCTCTCCCCTCTTCCCTCATTGAGACGTCAACCAATTTGATTTAGGTTATATATACATATGCACTCATACAAAACATAGTTCCATGTTAGTCATGTTGTGAAAAGACACAGAACAAAAAAACTAAGAAAAATAAAGTTTAATAAAAGGTATGGTTCAATCTGCATTCAAACTCCATCAGTTCTTTCTCTGGGGATGGATAGCATTTTTCATCATAAGTCTTTCAAAATTTTCTTGGATCATTGTATTGCTGAGAATAGCTAAGTCATTCACAGTTGATCATTTATGGTATTGCTGTTACTGTGTGCAGTGTTCTTCTGGTTCTGCACATTTCACTCTATGTCAGTTATTTAAGTCTTAGCAGGTTTTTCTGAGAGCATCCTGCTCATCGTTTCTTATTGCACAATACTATTCCATCATAATTATCTACCACAACTTGTTTAGCCATTCTCCTATTAATGGACATCCCATCAATTTCTACTTTGCCACCACTGAAAGAGCTGCTATGAATATTTTTGTTCATATAAGTCCTTTTCCTTTTTGTTTTTTATCTCTTTGGGATACAAACCTAGTAGTGGTATCACTGGGTCAAAGGGTATATATACATGGTTTTATAGCCCTCTGGGCATAGTTTCATATTACTCTACAGAATAGTATAGAACTCTACCAACAGTGCGTTAATGTCTCATCCTACATGTGCCGCCTCTCTTCCAACATTTGTCATTTTCCTTTTTTTTGTTTGGTCATGTTAGCCAGTCTGATAGGTATGGGGTGGTACCTCTGAGTACTTTTAATTTTCATTTTTGTTATAGTGATTTAGAGCATTTTTTTCATATAACTATAGATAGCTTTAATTTCTTTCTCCGAAAATTCCCTGTTCATATCCTTTGACCATTTATCAACTGGAGAATTATTTGTATTCTAATAAATTTGACTCGTTTTTCTATATATTTGAGAAATGAGGTCTTTATCAGACAAACTTGCTGTAAAAATTTTTTTTTCACAGTATTGATTACCAACTATGTATTTCCCTCCATCCTGTTTTTCCCTTGTTTATCCTACTCTTTCTTTCACCCTGTCCATTCTTTTTTTTTTTCTCCCTGTCCATTCTTAAAAGTGTTTTGCTACTGACTTTAACCTCTCCCAGTCCATCCTCCCTACTTTCAGTTCTACCATCCCCTTCTTTTATCCCCTTCCCCTCCTACTTTCCTCTAGGGTAGGATAGATTTCTAAACCCAACTGAGTATGTATGTTATTCCCTCTTTGAAACAGTTCCAATGAGAGTGAGGTTCATGTGCTACCTTCCCCTTTTCCCCCTTCTTCCCCTCTCTTTTGGGCTTCCTTTATGTCAGATAATTTACCTCATTCTGTCTGTCCCTTTTACCTTCTCCTAGTGTATTCTTTCTCACCTGTTAATTTTATTTTTTTTGGATAATCATCCCATCATATTCAACTAATACCTGTGCCCTCTGTCTATGTATACTCCTTCTAACTGCCCTAATAATGAGAAAGTTTTTGGGAGTATCGTTCTTATCTTCACTTTCTGCCGTCACAGTGGTATTTTCTGCATGTCTGAAAATGTTGATATTTCTCCTGCCAACCTTAATTCCAACCTTTAATTAATCTAGCCTAGCATTTCATATAATGTGCTCTGCATATAGGTTAAATAAATAAGGTGACAGTATACAGCTTTTTTGTATTCTTTGTCCAATCTTAAAGCAATCAGTTGTTCTGTGTTCGATTCTGACTTTTGCTTCTTGGACTGCATACAGGTTCCTCAAGAGGTAAGTAAGATGATCTGGTACTCTCATTTTTTGAGGACTTAACACATCTTGTTGTGATCCACATAGTCAAAGGCTTTAGGATAGTCTAAGAAGCAGAAGTAGATGTTTTCCTGGAACTCCCTTGCTTTCTCCATGATCCAGTGAATGTTGGCAATTTGGTCTCTAGTTCCTCTGCCTCTTTGAAAACCAAACTGCTCTTCTGGTAATTCTCGGTTCACATATTGCCAAAGCTTGGCTTGCAGAATTTTAAGTATAACCATGCTGGCATGTGAAATGAGTGCAATTGTTTGGTCATTTGAACATTTCTTTGCATTGCCCTTTTTTAGGATTGGGATGTAAACTGATCTTTTCCAATCAAAATGGTCATTATTGAATTTTCCAAATTTACTGGCATATTGTGTGGAACACTTCAAAGGCATCATCTTTTACGATTTTAAATAGCTCAGCTGGAATTCCATTACCTCCACTTGCTTTATTGTTAACAATGCTTTCTAAAACCCACTTGACTTCATTCTTCAGGATGTCTGTCTCTATTTATTGACCACACCATCATGGTTACCGGTGATGTTAAGATCTTTCTTGTTTAATTCTTTTGTGTATTCTTGCCACCTCTTCTTAATTTCTTCTGTTTCTGTTAAGTCCCTACAATTTTTGTCTTTTATCATGCCTATTTTTTCACGAAACGTTCCCTTGAAATCTCTAATTTTCTTGAAGAAAACTCTTGTCTTTTCTATTCCATTGCTTTCTTCTTCCTCTTTTTTTTAAGTGAGGCAGTCAGGGTTAAGTGACTTGCCCAAGGTCACACAGCTAGTACGTGTCAAGTGTTTGGTCTGAGGCAGGATTTGAACTCAGCCGGTACTCTATCCACTGTGCCACCTAGCTGCTCCCCCCCTTTTTTTTAGGAAAGCCTTCCATTAGAAGGTGGGTTTCTATTTATTTATTTATTTTTGGTGAGGCGATTGGGGTTAAATGACTTGCCCAAGGTCACACAGCTAGTAAGTGTCAAGTGTCTGAGGCCGGATTTGAACGCAGGTCCTCCTGACTCCAAGGCTGGAGCTTTATCCACTGCACCATCTGGCTGCCCCCGCTTTCTTCTATTTCTTCACACTACTTGTTCCATCCCAGGAGGGATGTTGTAGTATGAGACTCCAGCAAAAAAAACAGTCACTTCTTCCCCTTCTCATCTTTTCCCTTTTCTCCCCCTCTAACTTTAGCTTAATATTTAAATACATTCCCTGAGCATACACTGATTGTTATTTGGGAGAGATGTCTAGGACATGAGTTGGGTGACTGAGGCTGGTCTGCAGTTAGGCATTCGCTGTAGCTGATTTATGTACAGATATATATATATTTTTTAATTCTTTCTTGGCTCCGAATGTATGGCAAACCAAAGGTTAAATTAGCATCTTCACCATATAAGTTTATTTTTCTAACTTTTATGAATTAGGAAATTATGTTCTTCAAAGTCCCTGACTACTTGATATTTTTTTATTTGTCTAGAAACACATAATTCATGGCCTTGTCCCTGCAGCTACCATAGCACCCAAACCAGCAGTTCCTCGAACACCTCCACCTCGTAGTCCAGATCCTTCTCCAGAAAGACCTAGGTAAATTTAAATTTTGTTTTAACTCTGTTGTGCATGGTGTAAACTAATCAAGTAAAAAATATTTTTTATGTGCCTACTGTATGCCATGCACTGTCCTAAGCACTGGAGTTATAAAGAAAGGCAGAAAACAATCTGTGCTTTCAAGGAATTTGTAATCTCTTGGGGGAGACCACATACAAACAACTATGTGTAAACAAAATATATACAGGCTAAATTGGGGATAACAGGGGGAAGGCAACAGAATTAAAGGGAATTGGAAAAGCCTTCTTGTAGAAGCTGGTATTTTAGCTGAGATGTGAAGAAACCCAGGGAAGCTAAGAAACAGAAGTGGGGAGGGACAACCAGGGAAAATGCCTGGCTGGGAGTATCTTGTGCAAGGAACAGCAGGGAGACCAGCATCACTGGGGAGGGTAGTAAGGAGAAATTTTTTTGTGTGTGTGTGTATGTGTCTAATTTTTACTAAGAATTGGTGCAGTGTGGTATTTAGAGTCCTAGGCTTGGAGTTAGGAAGATTGATTCCTTTTGAACCTTGCCTGTGCCATGAACTGGTCATATGACCATGGGCAAGTCATTTAAAGTCTCCCACTTGCTTCTCTGAGCAACTTTATAAACAGTTTGAGACACTGGGAGTGCCTATACCAAAGAAATCACAGGTTAGACTTACTGATATATGTCTCTTTCCCCCTAGAAGATTATTAGATCCTTTAAGGCAAAGATTGTGTTATTTTCATCCCTAGTGCTCTTCACATTGAAAATATCAAATAAATTTAATGTTGACTTGAGGAGAAAATTGATGAACAAGAATGATAGTTTATTAATTTTATATTGAGGAATAAAACTGCCAAATGAACAGAAATAGACATATTGGTTGCTTAGTGCATTTTTTTTTCTTTTTCCTTTGTAGGTAAATTTATTTAGGAAATCAAATTTATTGGTTCTGTATTTAGAATTAAAGTAACAAATACTTAGCCCGGGATTCAGGGCTCTCCACAATCTGGCTGCCTTATCTTTCCAGCCTTATCTCCTTCCATGCTACACTGCAGTCAAACAGGGCTATTTATACTTTCCTGTGTATGTCTCATCTTTTTTTACCTTTGTGCCTTTCATTCCTGTGCCTGAAATGCCTTTTTCCCATGACTTTCTTAATAAGGTTAAACTGCTTACATTCCTACATGGGAAGATGATGCTAATAACTCAAGAATTTTCTCATTATTAGGGCAGTTAGAAGGAGTATATTTAGACAGAGGGCACAGGTATGAGCTGAATATGATGATATCTCAAAAAATAAAATTAAGGGATGAGAAAGAAGAATGCACTGGAAGAAAGGGAAAGGAGAATGGAGTAAATTATCTCACATAAAAGAGGCAAGAAAGAGCTTTTACAGTGGAGTAGGACTCTGCATACCACATACAGGGGGTGATAGGCAGTGCTTGAACCTTACTCTTATCAGAATGGCTCAAAGAGGGAATAATATACACACTCAGTTGGGTATAGAAATCTGTCTTAACCTATAGCAAAGTAGGAGGGAAAGGGGATAAAAGAATGGGGTGGATGGGGCTGATAGTAGGGAGGGCAGATTGGGGGAGGTAAAAGTCAGAAGCAAAATACTTTTGAGGATGGACAGGGTGAAAGGAGAGAGAATAGAGTAAATGGAAATAAGATGGAGGGAAATACAGTTAGCAATCATAACTATAAAAAAATTTTTTGAATCAAGTTTCTCTGATAAGGACTCATTTCTCAAATATATAGAGAACTGAATCAAATTTATAAAATTAAGAGCCATTCCCCAATTGATAAATGGTCAAAAGATGTGAGCAGTCAGTTTTCAGATGAAATAATTAAAGTTGTCTATACAAGGCAGCTAGGTGGCATAGTGGATAGAGCTCTGGCCTTGGAGTCGGGAGGACCTGAGTTCTCAGACACATAACGCTCACAAGTTGTGTGACTCTGAGCAAGTCACTTAACCCCATTGTCTCAAAAAAAACAAACTGTCTATAGCCATTTGAAAAAATGCTCTAAATCACTATTGATTAGAGAAATGCAACTGAAAAACAATTCTGAGATATTATCTCATACCTTTTAGATTGGCTAATAGGACAGAAAAGGAAAATGACAAATGTTGGAGGGGATGTGGGAAAATTGAGACACCTAATGAAGTGTTGAGGGAGTTGTGAACTGATTCAGCTGTTATGTAGAGCAATTTGGAACTAGATTGAAAGGGCTATAAAACCATGCATACCCTTTGACCCAGCAATACCACTACTAGGCCTATATACAAAAACAAATAAAAAAGAAAAAAGGAGAAGGACTTATATGTACAAAAATATTTATAGCTGCTCTTCAGTAGTGGCAAAAAAGTAGAAACTGAGGGGATGCTCATCACTTGGGGAATGTCTGAACAAGTTGTGGTATAGAATTATGATGGAATATTATTATGCTATAAGAAATGATGAGCAGGTTGTTTTCAGAAAAACCTGGAAAGATTTACAATAGCTGACGCAATGTGAAATTAGTAGAACCGGGAGAACATTATACACAGTAAGAGCAATATTGTAAGATATTCAACTGTGAATGATAGAACCTATTCTCAGCAATACAGTGATCCGAGACAACTCTGAAGGACTTAGGATGAAAAATGCTATCCATCCTCAGAGAAAGAACTGATGGAGTCTAAATACAGATAGAAGCATACTTTTTAAAACTTTTTTTTATGTTTTCTTTTATAACATTACTAATATAGAAATATGTTTTGCCTGACTGCCCATGTATAACACGTATTAATGTACATGTGTTAAATTACACATGTATTATATTTCTTGCCTTCTTCATGAGGGGGGTGGGAAGGGAGGGAGAAAATTTGTCACTCAAAATTTTAAAAATGAATGTGTTAAAAATTGTTTTTATGTGTAACTGGGGAAAAATAAAACACTAAAAAAAAAGATTGTGGTGAAGAAGGAGCGTTTTGGAGTAAAAGATAATGTTCTGTTTTGGACTTGTTGAATTTAGTTGCTTGTGGGATATCTAGGTGTAAATATTCAGCAGGTAGTTTCTAAGTTTTTAAAGTTTATCAATTTTTCCTCTAGTTGAACTGAATTTTTTTTTTAGCTTACTTTGCTTCTTCTGCCATTTTTTCTTTCAGCAGGATCCTTTTTTTTTTTTTTTTTGAGGCAATTGGGGTTAAGTGACTTGCCCAGGGTCACATAGCTAGTAAATGTCAAGTATTTGGTCTGAGGCTGGATTTGAACTCAGGTCCTCCTGACTCCAGGGCCAGCATTCTATCCACTGCACCACCTAGCTGCCCCTTTAGCAGGATAATTCTTTAAAAAGCATTCTTTAATCAGTATTTTTTGTTTTCCTATCAGCTTAATTTCCAAATAAACCTACCCTTCTTAGAGAGTCATCTCTAGTACTAAAGATGCAAAATTAAAGCAGTTAAGCAAAATTAACTAACAAGCAACATTAAGTAACATATCAACTGTATCTGATAGTATATTAAGTTTTCCACACCCGTGGTCGATCTGCCTCTACAAAAAAGGGAGGAAAGTACAGCAAGACAATTCTCTTCGTCATTTAAAATATTTATTTATGTTATCTATGTTGTTGAATTTTATTATCATCTAATATTATTGCCCTTTAAAAATAACAGCAACAAATATGTCAGTTCTTCTCTTACTGCTGCCACTTCTTCCTTTATTTCTTATGTTTTGCTTTTTGTGTAGCTTCATTTTTTGTGGCTTCATTAATATTAATTCATTGTTCTTTTCTTCTTATGCCTCTTTAGATTTCTTTTATTCCATAATTTTATAAATTGCATACAAGTTTCCTTTTTTGAAAAGAAAAAGTTTCTTTTATTGTTCCTTTTTTCATGATGATTTTCTTTTGATATTTTGAGGTTATCTTTTTTGACAATTTTTTTTTTTAAGGATTTAGATTATGGAGCAGAACTGTCATAATAACCATTGCTAATCCTGCCAAAAGTTTCTTTAATCTCTTCTTTTCATTATTTAGTAATTTAGCTATAACACTTGGAAGCTTCATAATATTTATAGTCCAAGATAAAAAGATTCAATAGAGATATGTGGGACCTAAATGAAAGGATCTTATCTACAATAATGATTTAGGTAATATGTACCAAAATTTAAAAAAAATTCTAGACTAATGTATGTCTTGTCAGAAACTTAAAATGCTATATATATTTTTAATGAATCCTTTAATCATATATATATATTTATGTATTTTCAACTGATCTTTGCCATTAGTAATGCATGAATATTGCAAAAGCGATATATATATACACATATATATATAAAATATAACTTATCTTTCTATGTTTTATAATCATCATTTTTTGCTTGGTTGAGGTACCAATGTATGCCTTCAGAATCTACCTTCATGGGTTAGTGTTTAACTGTTTTATATTTATATCTTATCTAGATCTGCCCTTGCTGCAGCCATCCTAGTGTCCACATTAACTGGAAGGACTTTTGCTATTCCTCAGCCTAATCATCGATCACGTTCTGAAAGTGATGCAACATACCTGGAAGGAGATGGTGGTGTCATTGAGCCTTATGCGACTGTAACTGAGTTCAGACCTGGGTAGCATCATATTTCTGTTATGTTTTGTTTTGTTTTGTTTTGTTTTGTTTCTTGTAACAGCTAACCCTAAAGATACAGTTTGATAGAGGCTTTTTTTGTGGAAAATATTAATACTATAATTTTCATTACAACAGATTGAAAAGAGGGTGGCCCTTTTTCCTTTCTAATATTGAGTGTCACCAGATAGCTAAATAAGTATTGGATCAAAGTAGAGCTCTTATGTTAGCTCAATTTGCTTTCAAATTTTTTATGCACTAATTACATATGAGGGTCTTTGCTAGTTGCTTCAGATACATGTCAAAAAGTTTATATTCTGGTTTGGGGATTCAGTATGTGTGGTGCAAGGTTCAGTTGTAACTCCAGTGCTTAGCACAGTGCCTGACCAAAGAGGGGAAGACTGGAGGGAAAAAAACTAGTTAGGAAGCTATTGTGATAGTCTAGTTGAAAGGTGAGAGAGGGTACTTGAACTAGGTTGGTAGTAGTGTGAATACAGAGAAGGGCACAGTTGTGACCACTGTGAAGGATAGTCAACAGGATTTGTCATCTGATTGTCTTACCTACTGAGGATAAAATTTTCCTTAAGATGGACCTCAATATTTCACTGAAAACCAAATTATTTTTGTGCTTAGCATGAGAACTACTTGTTTAAGGCATAAGAAAAAAAACCCCAATCTTTTATGGTCTGTTATGATTTAAATTTAGAGAAATCTCATCAATCAGTCCTAGTAAGTTTTCCTTAAAAATTTTCTTCCTTCTTGGTATTATTGGGCTAAGTTTTCTTATGCTATAATAATTCCAGCTGATGATAGGTGGTAGCCAAATTTGAGATTTTTGTAGATTCTGTTTCAAAATAAATACATGAAGAATTATTTTTATGTAGTTTATGAAAACATATTAAGATTTGAACTTTTCTTTCTTACAGATATGAATGTTCTTAGATGCTTGTAGTATAAACTGTTTCCACAAGGTGTTTTGCATTTTAGCAGATGAAGTATAAGTATTAGATGGTTTCTTTTTAACTCTTAAAATACTGTGTTTTCATTCACAGACCAGAGTGGCCGGAAGTGCAGGAAAAAAGATATTCTTTACCAGCCTTTAAAATGTCAGGCTATAGTGACGATGAGGATGAAGATGAAGATGTTGAGACATATCTGTCTGACAATTACAGTGAACATGTTGAGCTCAGTACTCAGAAAAAAGAAAAAAATTTTAAGGATGCTGTTTATGCTGTTCCACACAGAAGTAAAAAGGTATTTTTTTGCATCTTAAAAAATTTCTATACCCTGAAAATATTTCTACAGTGAATTATTTTCAGAATTGCTAATCTGTTTTGTTATTGATGGTAATTATTTTCAACATGAGTTGCCTTCTTTTTAAAAATTATGTGTAAATTATTGACATAAACCCAGCCATGAATTTTAAATGCTCAAAAACTATTCTAAACTTTATGATCCATTCACATTTTTTTCTAATTAAATTTTATTTTCAAACAAAGATCTTTTCCTTCCCACTTCCATTCCCCACCAACTTGAGAAAGCAAGAGAAACCAAGCCCCTATTATAAACATGTACAGTAGAGCAAAACAGATTTCCCACATGGACCATATTCAAAAGAATACTTTTACACATGATTGCAGAGATCACCTTTTGAATTCTGCTTCAGGCTTTTCAGAATTTCAAGTATGCATTTCCTTGTATTGACATAGTCGTTTCAACTATTTGTTATTGTCAAAGAGTACATTTGTCATTTTTGTAATTACAGTGTTCTGTTGTATTCACATATCACAGTTTGCTTGGCCAGTCTCCTTTTTGTAAGGCATTTAGGGTGTTTTCCAAACTGTTTTTTGTAATTGCTCTGAAAACTAAGACCATCAGTATTAATTAACTGATATTTTACTTCTTTAGCCTCCTAAATCTTTCAAAGATAGAAGGGTAAACTTTTTCAGCACTGTATTCCTAGTAATTAGGAATTCCCTGTTCTGTAGTAGGTGTTTAAAAAACATTAGGATCGTTATCATAATAAAAACTGATAGTTATACACAGTGCTTTACTGTGTTATTTACAAAGTTCTTTACAAATATTATCTTTTTTTGATCCTCTGTGAGGGACTTAGAGATGAAAGGCAAGAGGAAACTGAGGCCCAGAGAGGTTAAATGAATGGATTGTTTTACACCAACAGTGTGTAGCACAGTTCAGATTCAAACCAGTTCCTGTGACTATAAATCCAGAATTCTTTGTATTGCACTATGCTGCTTGTTTGTTTTAACCCCTATCTTTTCTTCTTAATTTGTATTTTTCACATAAAGTTAATAATATTGAACTATTCTTTGTTATGTAAATCTAATTTTCTGTTACATTACCAATGCTTCTCAGTCATAACTTTAGATAGTGTATCAAAAATTTGCCCTTATGTCAAATGTTAGGAGTTGAAGCTTCAATCATTTCTTGTATTGGTGATTTTTAAAGTCCTCTTTTAGTATTTTTCTGAATCTCAATTTATTAAGCCTTATGCTTTCAGGAGCCTGTAAACAGGGAGTTTAATTTCTTTTATGGAAACTGGACATTTTGTTCTCATCTTCCTTTTTGTTGATTATAATCAGTAGTTTCTTGTTGTTGAAAATTAAAGTTTGAAATTGATCTTTCACTTTGATTCTCTGTGTACTATGTGTGTGCTTGTGCTTTAGCATTTAGCTTCTTTTCTATTGATTTGAAAACAACGCTTTTCCCAGTTGTTAAATGTGGCTACATCAGGAGTGTCAATCATGTTTAGTCATCATTTCTTTTTTTTAAAGTATAGTTTTTAAAAAAACATTCTGTACTTTTTTCCAATAACACTTAAAAACAGTTCTTAACATTCGTTTTTAAAAATTTTAAGTTCCAAATTCTCTTCTTCCCTTCCTCTACTAGCCCTTCATTGAGAAGGCAAGCAGTTATTTATATAGGATATACATGGACAATCATGCAAAAAATATTTCTATATTAACTATTTTGTGAAAGAAAACACAAAGATAAAAAAAACAAGAAAAGTAAAGAAAGTGAAAAAAAGCATGCTTAAATCTGCATTCAGATTCCATCAGTTTTTTCTCTGGAGGTGGATAGAATTTTTCATTAGAAGTCCTTCAGAATTGTCTTAGATAATTGTTTTACTGAGAATAGCTAAGTCATTTGCTGTTGATCATCTTACAGTATTGCTGTTACTGTGTACAATGTTCTCCTGGTTCTGCTCATTTCACTTTGTCAGTTATGTAAGTCTTACCAAATTTTTCTGAGAACATCCTGCTTATCATTTCTTATTGCACAATACTATTCCATCATAATTATCTACCATAACTTGTTCAGCCATTCCCCAGTTGATGAACATCCCCTCAATTTCCACTTCTTTGCCACTATAAAAGGAACTGGTATAGCTATTTTTGTACATACAGATCCTTTTCTCTTTTCTCTTTTCTTTTCGTTTTTAAAAAATCTCTTTGAGATATAGACCTAGGAGTGGTATTGCTGAGTCAAAGTGTATGCACACTTTTATAGACCTTTGGGCCTAGTTTCAAGTTGCTCTGTAGAATAGTTAGATCAGTTCATTAGTATCTACCAACAGTTCATTAGTGTCCCAGTTTTCTCACATACCCTTAACATTTGTCATTTTTATTTTCTGTCATATTAACCAATCTGATAGATGTGAGGTCATACTTCAGAGTTGTTTTAATGTACACTTATCTAATCAACAGTGATTTAGAGCATTTTTTTCATATAACTGTAGGTAGCTTTTGTGCCTCTTTTATGTGAGATAATTTATCCCATTCTAACTCTCCCTTTCCCTTCCTCTTTCTCAACCCTTAATTTTATTTTTTAGATAATCATCCCATCATATTCAACTCACCCCTGTGCCCTCTGTCTATGTATACTCCTTCTAACTGCCCTAATAATGAGAAGGTTCTTGGGAGTTATAAGTATCATCTTCCTATGTCAGATTGTAAACAGTTGAACCTTATTGATTCCCTTATAATTTCTCTTTCCTGTTTACCTTTTTATGCTTCTCTTGAGTCTTGTATTTGAAAGTCAGATTTTCTGTTCAGTGCTGGTTTTTTTCATCAGGGATGCTTGATGTTTTCATTTAATGTCCATGTTTTCTTCTGAGGGATTATACTCAGTTTTGCTGGGTAAGTTATTTGTTGTAATCCTAGCTCCTTTGCCCTCTGGAATATTCTATTCCAAGTCTTCTGATTCTTTAATGTAGAAGCTGCTAAATCTTGTGTTATCCTTACCGTGGCTTCATGATATTTGAATTGTTTCTTTCTGGCAGATTGCAATATTTTCTCCTTGACCTGGGAGCTCTGGATATTCCTGGGAGTTTTCATTTTGGGATCTCTTTCAGGAGGTGATCAGTGGATTCTTGAGTTTCTATTTACCCTCTGGTTCTAGAATATCAGGGCAGTTTTCCTTGGTAATTTTTGTAAATATGATGTCTAGGCTTTTTTTGATCATGGCTTTTGGGTAGTCCAATAATTCTTAAATAATTTTGCCTGGATCTCTTCATCCAGGTCAGTTGTTTTTCCAATGAGAGATTTCATGTCATCTTCTATTTTTTTTTCATTCTTTTGATTTTGTTTGTTTCTTGATGTCTCATGGAGTCATTAACTTCCACTTGCCCAGTTCTAATTTTTAAGGAATTATTTTCTTCAGTGAACTTTTGTACCTCCTTTTCCATTCGATCAGTTTTGCTTTTTAAGGAGTTCCTCTCTTCAGTGATTTTCTATACCTCTTTTTCCATGTGGTCAATTCTGCTTTTAAAGATGTTCTTCTCTTCAGTGAATTTTGTCCATCTTTTTCATTTGATCAATTCTGCTTTTCAAGGCGTTCTCCTCATTGGATTTTTGTAACTCTTTTACCATTTGGCCTATTTTTTAAGTTGTTATTTTGTTTTTGTGCTTCCTTTGCCAAGCTCTTTATTTTTTTTTCATGATTTTCATGTGTCATTCATTTCTTCTCCCAATTTTTCCTCTACCTGTCTTATTTGATTTTTCAAATCCTTTTTCAGCTCTTCCACAAATTCTTTATGGGCCTGAGACCAATTTGCATTTTTCTTTAATGCTTTATATGTACCTGTTTTGACATTTTTTTTCTGCTGAGTTTGTGTTTTGCTCTTCTCTGTCACCATAACAACTTTCCATGGTCAGGTTCTTTTTTTGTTGTTTGCTCATTTTCCCAGCCTATTTTTTGACTTTTAACTCAGGCTGTGCTCCCATTGTGGAGGGGGCACCATCCCAAGGTTCAGCTTTTTCGTGTTGCTGTTTTCAGAAATAGTTCTGGGTTGGGGGGGGTCTGTAAATTTTCAGCTCTTTCATGGTGGTTTGATATCAGGAGCTGTGGTCACTGCTTTCCTGACATGTGCTGCAGCCTGTGAGCAAGCACAAATATTCTTTATCTGTCTTAAAATAGTGATCAGGGTCCCTGCTCCTGCTAGGGAATGCAGCCACTTACGGGTAATGCAACAGAGTCCTACACCCAGTGCTAGCAAAGAACCTTCTGTAATCTTCTTCTGACTAGTTTTTTGATCCCGTTATGGTCTGTAGGCTGAGAGCTCCAGAAGCTGTAGCTACCTATTTCTATGCCTCCTAAGACTTGCTACTGGCTTTGTGAGGTGTGGCCTGAAGTAATGCATTCTGCCCTGGACTGTGCTCCATTCTCACCTCAGTGAGACAGAACTTTATGGTTGACTTTCTAAGTTGTCTTTAGCTTGAAAATTGTTTCACCTCATCCTTTTTTGGGGGGGAGGTTTTCTGCCACTTAAGTATTTGTTTCGAGTAATTATTTTTAGCAGTTTTTGGAGGGGAATTTGGGAGAGCTCCGGTGAGTCCCTGACTTTGTTCTGCCATCTTGCCTCTCCCTAGTTTAGTCATCATTTGAAAGTGGAACTTGAGCTTGACCAGAAAATCTTGACTTGACTTTGACAGTTTGGACTTCTATCTAATTTTCTGAAAAGAAATATTTTGAGGAGCCTATTAGGGATAGGGAGGGAAACTTGACTATATAATGTTCAATGCCTTTTCATTAGCTTCTTGTAAACGTATGCTTTCAATCATTCAGCTATCATGTATTGACCTATTACTTTGTTCTTAGGGAGCCCTGGTGCATGCTTTTTATAAAAATGACCAAAAATATCTTATTTAACCTTTATTTAAAGTTGTATAAATGATTTGATCATACACTTTATAGAGTGAAACTTTCTGTACTGTATTTAAATCTCTTAACTAGGATAACAGGAACTAGTCATAGGCAAATACAGTAGGAATTAGAGAAGGAAGGGATTAATTTTTGACATTAAGTTTGAGGCAGTGGGTAAAATGGAATGAAGTTCTAGTCAGAGGTTGGGGATAAAGGTTATGACTAGAAGAAGTATCAGAAAAACAAATAAATGTTTTAACTATTTAGTCATGTGACAGCCATAAAACTGTTTATTGTGTTCTGTAAGAAAAAAATAATTAACAAATTAAAAATCAAGGTTCATTTAAACTTCTTTTTTTAAGGACAGTCATATTGTCTTCATAGCTGAAGTAAGACCCTATTCTTGATGATGATGATGATGATGATGATAGCTAGTATATATATAGCACTTTAAAGTTTGAAAAGCACTTTACAGTTATTATCTGACTTTATTCTCGTGACAGTCCCAGGATAAGTAAGTGTTATTATTATCCTCACTTTGCAGATGAGGAAACTGAGGCTCAGATAACATAAGCAGCTTGTCCAGGATCACTCAGCTATGAAGTGTCTGAGACCAGATTTGAACTCAGGTCTTCCTCAGTCCAGATGCAACAGTATCGACTGTGCCACATGGATGCCTCAGATGTCAGATAGTTATAACACATGAAAAATATTTTCTGAGCCTGTATTTCTTGCTCTGAAATGCAAAAGGCATGAAATGTGAGCACATTTTCATTTTCTTATGGGTACTAATCAATTTAAGGATAATAATATTACTTAAAGAATTAGCCTGGACAGTAGAATTTCATATAAAATCCTAATTAATTTACTAATTTTTTATTCTTATTATTGGACCATAGTGAAATGTTTAATTAAGACCATAACATTTTAACCACTGTGGCTGAATGTTTGAACTTGTCAAGAAAGTGACTTAGAACCTCTCCTTTTATATCTTAGATATGTTCCTGAAAAGATTCATATAATTCATATTAATAAGGTGAATTGCATTTTAAGTGTACTTGGTGGGATTTGATATTTAGTGTAATTCTGTTCAAGCCTTTGTAAAGCAAGTAATTATTTAGAAATATTTACTGAGAACCTACAATGCCTAGTAGAAGGTTTACTGGTAGTTACTATGAGCCATTTACTATGAGATAGTTACTATGAGTTACTGCAGAAACAAGCCATTATCCCAGTACAATTGGAGGTTATAATCTAATAGGAGAAATAAAACATGTATATGAATGACAGTAATACCACGTAGAATTTGAAAATACAGTAAGAGAAGTATAAAGTAATGTTGTAGTGCAATCAGGGCAGTTAGGTACATAGAAGAGGAGGCACTGGAGGGACATTTCCTAATTTGTTTCTGTATAAATCTAGATTTTAATATACAATATTAAATTTACTTGAAACAAATTCTAACAATTTGATTAGGCATTTAATAAAGGTATAGCCATAAAGTTATTTCTCAACTTTTTTTATGGAGCATCAAAGAAACCATTTTTAAGATATGTGTTGTTAGTTATGGTTATGACCTCTCATCTCATCTGTCATGCGTGTTTAATTTCTATATGCTTTCTGGTCAGAGTTTAAAAAAAAACACCTCTGGGATAGGTTCTGTCACAGATAATGAAGCATAACATATTATTTATTTTTTAGTTTATGTATATAGTTCTTATCTTTCCAGTATACTTGTAAGCTTGTATCATACTTTTTTTTTTTTACTAACAATGCTTAGCCTAGAAGTAGTCACAAAATTAGTATTCACTAAATAGTTATTGAACTTTTGAATTTGGTATTGACCTATCAACATACTTAATATTTCAATTTTCCTTGCTGCTGTTATGACAATGAATGACATTTTGCACAGAAGACTCATGTCATATCTGTTTGCTATCATTTTAAATCTAGGACACAGATCCATTAGTTTTTAGGGCTTATACTGAAAAGGATGGAACTGCTTCTGAACAAGGTGAATTCCCAAATTTGGAAGTTGGATCATTGCAAGTAAAAGGTAAGAATTTTTTTTAATGTAAAAAATTCCAGTCTAAAAAATGTTACTGTACTTGGAGGGGATAACATCTTTATTCATGTTGACTTTAGTTATATTAGTACACCTAAGTACCTCTATTTAAAAGCAAAGGAGACATTTTCAAAATGTTTAGTAATGTGTGTTTCTGTATTCTGTTGCATTTTTGAAGTAATGTTTTCAATGTCTTTCCTATAATGTGGTGCCTAGGACTGGGCCTAGTATTTCAGATGTGGTTTAATCAGGAGTATCATAGGACTATCACTTCTGTCATTCTGGACATCTTCTTTCTCTTAATGCTTCCAAGATGACATTAGCTTTGCTAGTTGCCACACAACACCATTGACTTATAATGAGTCTACTGAAACCCTGGGCATTTTCTCCTGTACTCCTTTCTACCTGTGTTGCTCTCCATCTTGTATTTGTGCATTTACTTTTTTTAACCAAAACGCAGTATTTCAGCTTTTTCCCTTTTAAATTGTACTGTATTAGATTCAGCCTTTCATTCCATCTTGTTAAATGTTTTTGGATTCATATTCTGTCATCTGTTTAGATAACGATCCCTCCCAACTTTGTGTCATCTGCAAATTTGATAAATATGCCATCAGTGCCTTTATCCAAGTCATTAATTAAAAATGTTAAATAACCCAGGGCCAAACAGAATATCCTCCTAAATTGACATCAAACTAGTAGTCATTACTATTCTTTGAGTCTGGTGATTCAACTAGTTCTGAATCTTGTTTGATTTCACTGTTGTCTAATAGCTGTCCATCTTGTTCACAAGAATAGCATGTGAGACTCAATCAAATACTTTACTAAATTCTAGATTTATAACTTCAGTGTAACCCTGATCTATGAGTTTAGTAATAACGCTATCAAAAAAGGAAATAAGGTTAGCCCAACATGACCTTTCTTTAAAAAAATCTTTTGATTAAAAGCTTAAAGTTGATAAATGTTTAAATACACAAAGAAACACAAAAAAGGGAATTATATTTAAAACTGTAAGCTTTGTTATATTCAGTTTTCCCCATTATGTATATCTTGGTGGTTGGTTTGGTTTTTTTTTTTTTTGTATAATTCAAATTTAACATGTTTTTAGACAGTCAATAAGCATTTATTGAGCACCTACTGTGTGTAAGGAGCTGTGCTAAGTGCTGGTGATACAAAGAAAGGCAAAAGATAGCCCCTGCCCTTGAGGAGTTCACAGTTTTAACTAAATCTCTCTCTTCTCTCCCTCCCACCCCCCATTGAATTTAGAGAGCTTCTGATTACAGTGGCAAGTCGCAGTCAAACAGGTTCTTTCCAAGCATTGTGAGATACACTATACCCTTATTTTTCTGGTACAGAAGGAAAAATGAGGCCCCAAGATCACATCAATCATAGCCATGGTAGTGATCAGAGAGGTGCCACAAAATCCTCAGAGATAAGATTAACCCCATACAGTAAGCAGTTAGGGTCAACCTGGAAATGATCACTGGCATAAAGGATTATAGCTAAGGGAGAATGGGGCAGGAATTTATTTGATTGTGCATATTTGTTAAAAGGTGTTTCCAGGCTCCTCCCTCTTCACATCCACATAGCTGTCAAAATTATCTTCTTAAGGCAAGGTCTGACCACTGCTCAAAAACCCTCAATGACTCCTTATTACTTCCAGGATAAAAGACAATCTCAGCCTGACATTTAAGTCTTTCCATAACCTGGCTCCAACTTATGTTTCTAGCCTTTTACTTCCTAACATGTGCCATGCTTTACTTAAGTTATTTCCCATGCCTAGAATGCATTCTGTTGTCATCTCATCTCTCTTTCTCAGAATTCTTATCCTCCTTCAAAGGCTCATCTTAGATGACACCTCTTTCTTGATGCCATGCAGAACCCAGGTGGTAGTGCACTCCCTTTCCTTAAATTTCTTTGACTTTACTTAGCCATATTCATGGTACAATGTAAGGTCTTTCATAGTAGGTATTGAACTGCTTTTTTCTTTATATTCACTAAGCTTAGTGCCCTGCCTTTAGAAATACACCCTTAGAAAAGGTTCTTTGAAACTTAAACCAATTGAATTGAAAAAATATATCTGTAACAAATCCACATATTAGGGATTATATAGAAGGGGAATTTCTGCCTTCATAATGGGTTAAACTAGATAGTTCTGAAAATTCCATTTAATTCTGAAAGTCTAAGACTAACAACTGAGGCAGCTAGGTGACTCAGTGGATGGACTGCTGGGCTTGGAGTTAAGACCTGAGTTCAAATCCTGTTTCAGACACATATTAGCTATGTGACCCTGGGCAAATCATTTAACCTCTCTTTGACTCAGTTTTCTCAACTGTCAAATGAGGATAATAATAGCACATATAAACACTAGCTATTATTATTGTTGTTACTACCTGAGGTCTCAGATTGTTTCTTTTGGAACACTATGAAGACAAGTCATGTGCTAGTCCTTAGGGATGTGAAGCAACAGTTTACATTAACTCCTAAAGATTGTAGTTCATTGATGGGTTAACCAAGAATTTTCTAAGTGAAGCTGAGATCATGATTGTTTCAAGTTAATATTTAGAAAAAATAGAAGAATTGACTTGTAATTAATTTCTCAAATATGGATTTAAAGAGTGGGTTAGAAAAAACCATATTAAATTAAAAAACAAGAAAGTCTGTAGGATCTTTGTACAGTTACTATTGAATCTAAAATATGAAATAAGTCCAATTTTAACTGGAGGTAAGAGACATCATAAGACAGTGCGGAGAGCATTTGACAGGACTCTCATCCCATGTTAGCCACTAAATGGGTAAGTGACCTTGAACAAGTCCTTTCCTTTATCTGGTACTCGCTTTTCTCATTCATAAAATTGAGGTGATTAAACTATATTATCTCTAAGATTCTATGATTCTGCGACTTATTTTCAATATTTTTCTTATGTTATCAGTTTAAATGAATGAGGCAGTGTAACAGTGGTTAGGGTGCTTGACTTGGGGTCAAGACCTCTGTTCATATATTGTCTTTTACAATATGTCTCTCTTTTGTGATCCTGCATAAATCACTAAATGTCTGTGTACCTTAGGCAATTCAATGGACCTATCCACTAGGTCATAGATGAGTTAACATTTGCACTGGTGGAAGGAATTCCCATTTTGAGAGTTCTCTATCACATTGCTTATAGCCTTTACTGAATTAGCATCAGTTAAAAAAACATGTTAAAGAAGTGTTACTACCTTTGTGGATATATGATTTGGTGTTGTTTTATGACAGTAAAATTTATTTATTTGTTGTTTTTAAAGGTTCTGTTTTATTTTCTTTATCACAAGGTAAACATCCTCTTCAGAATTTAAAGGTAAGACTATTATATAAATCATTTTTAAAGTTGTTAGTTAACTTCCTACCATAACCATTAGATGCCTCTTATGGCTTGAAGAAATGTATGACTGATATTGGAGAGTCTGATTTCACTGCCTTCATAACATTAAGAAATTCAGTTTTCTTTAATTTTTATGATGGAGGACAAATATTTGAGATTAGAAATGGTTAACTCAGTCTATATGATAAATATATAGCTCTAATGATAATTGTAATTTCCAAATCTGGAAGTGTTTCTAACTATCATTTACTCAGCAATACTTACCACATGCTACTGTTATCTTTAAATGAGTTTATTTGTCATAAAACCTTTTTAGGAAAAACTAGGAGCATAATACCATTCCAAAGAACATTATTAATGAAAAATATTATTAAAATTCCAAAGTTTCTACTTGCTCGTTGTTGATCCTGTTTTAAATGCAGTGAGGCAAGAATTTCTCTTTTACGTTCTGTTCCAAGCATTTTGAAAAAACATTTCATCACCATTTTTGGAGTTGCTTCTTCCTTCAGTATTTCAAAAGAGAGACAATTTCATTGGTATGACTGATGTAGATTTCAACTTCCTATAACTTGCTAAAGGTGAATTATTTTGGACAAAAATATTAATTACCTGGTGCCCAGCCTTTTGGTAATGGGCTTCTTGGCACTTAATTTTGTTGGTCTTTATATAGCAATCTTTGGCCAGCTCATGTTTAAAGCCCTCCTGGTTTGGTAGCACTTTCCAGAGCTTGTGCCCACAGCCTCTGAGACCCTGGGGTCACCTGCATGACATGTAGAGACATCTGATTAAGATCTTAGTGGCTGAATTTTTGAGCATTCACATGAAATATTGTACTTCTGTAAAAATGACATTTTGCATCTCTGTTTTATAGTTTACAGCAAATGATGAAATATTTAGCTTAAAAATATAACCTCTGGAGTCTTAGAGTTCTTTTCTTGAAGAACCACTCACATTTTGGTTTGAGTACACAGCTACTTGACTGACTCACAGAAGTGAGAAGAAAACTCTGAAAACTTGACTTGTACTCCCTTTTTAGTAACAGGAAAATCCTTTTTTATGGTCAGGGATTCTTTTATCAGAAATATGGCATATTAAAGTTCTCAAAGCTAACATTAACTATTAGCAATAGAATAACAGTGAAAGAAGTTGGGTCCTAATATATGTAGTAAATAATGAACCTTATGTTTTGATGATTATACTTCTTTGTCTTTTAGGGAAGAAATTAAGATTTTATATATAATTGTTTACTCTTTTCCCCTCAGGATGAAAAACTATCTGCTGAAAATGTAATTTTTGAAAAACCTCCACCATCTCCAGGTAATTGCCATTTGAGTATTAATATGATTGCACATCTTACACTTAAAAATCTATAAGAATAATCTCAATTAGCCTAAAGTAAAATGTTCTTTTATTATTTTATGTTTCTGCACCCACAACTTCCTATCATAGTCAAGAAAGATAGTGTTTACATGTAGGGTGTGTTCAAATTCCAGGTGTCCAGGATAAATATCTAGAGCCACTTTGTGGGGAATTACTTTCTGGAACTCAGTCTGGAATTTTTGGTCCTTGTACCAGATTTTTGTGTCATATCATAAATCTGAAAATAGCATCTGCTTATTGACATCTTTAAAAATAACACCAGAGGTTATGTGCAGTTCTTTCAGTGAATAGTTATTCACTTAGGTGATGTGACTAGTATTTCATGGTGTAGTGGCTCCTTTTTGTAGTTGATACTTTACTAATTACCTTAAGACCTATAATTTTGCAGAGCCTCCTAAAGAAGATCTAAAATTACTCAAAAGGGTTTGACCTAACCAGTTATACAGGAAAAGCCAAGTGAATGAAGAATGCTTATTATCTAGACCATGATATGCATGTAGTTGGGTAGAGAGTGCATAGAGTTGGTCGGTTAGTATCTTGGACAAGTCCTACAGATGAAAATGAACTGGGGCCAGAATTGAATAGGTTATATTGCTTTTGGGAAATTGCTTATTATTTTCAATGACCCTAGGTTTCTCCTTGAAACAAAATCCTATTTTTTTTAAACACTAACATTTTTCTAGTAATGCTGTATGGAGAACTTTGAGTACCGAGATACTACATTGTCCAAAGAATCAAATGTTCAAATCATCTAAATGTTAATGGAAAGATGGTGGGCATAAATAGCAGCATATTAAGGATGATAAACTGTACACCCAAAGCAACATGAAATTTGTTATCAGATTGTTATATGACTAGAAAATGAGGTGGGCCAATTATGTAGGAAGAGCATGAATTAACATTAACAGATGGATAATTAATGTGCTGCATTGAAAGCTATAAAATGTTGAGATACAGGGAAAGGCCCTAACACTGTATGTGGGCCCCTATAGAGGATTTATGGGAGAACATGGCCAAAAGTCACAATGGATGAAGACATGGATGGATTGTTATCTATATTCTTGAGAAGGAGTATCCAAATTAATGAGACCACAGATGTACTGAAGTAATTATTAGTATTTGAGAACAAAAGTATTGGCTTCATAGTCTTGAAAATATTATTTCAAAACATTTAAAAATTCTGTACTTGCATTAAAAAAATTGAGATGTTTCTGTCATCCTGTTTGGAGGCACCCCAAGAATTAGCTAATCAAATAAACATAGGATAGGTAACCCCAACATAAAATCTTAAATGAAAAGAACTACATAGTAAATTATTTTCTAAAAAATGAACTACAATTTATTTACAATTCGTGGAAGTAGATTAAAAAAACCCATAAAAATGTACATATGGTCCCAACTTTGAAATGAATTGTGTTCCAGAAGTTTGTTTCAGCATCCTATGTCAGAATTCTGGGATGCCAGCAAATTGACAAATGAGACAAAACATGAGAATAGTCGGTGTTGAAAAGGTTGTGGAAAGAAAAGCACAGTGTTATATTGGTAGAGCTGTGAATTAGTGCAACCATTTTGGAAGATAATTTGCAGTTATGCAAATAAAGTGACTAAAATGTCCATATACTTTGACCCAGATATTGTGGTGCTAGGCATATATCCTCGCTGATCATTGATAAGAAAGGCCCCATATACACCAACATATTTATAATAGCACATTTCGGATTCAGTCAGAGGGCCACATCCAAGGACCTAGAAGGCCATGTGTGGCCTCAAGGCCACAGGTTCCCTACCCCTGGTTTAGTACTGAGCAAAACAAACTAATAACTAAGTTATTCCTCCTAAATTAAGGGATAATAAAATTAGCTCCTTATAAGGTATCAAAAAATGGGAATTTAAGGGGATTTCCATTAATTTAAGATTAGCTAAACTAATTATGATATATATAAATGTGATGGAATACCATTGTGCTGTAAGAAATGATGAAAGGGATGGTTTCAGAGAAACCTGGGGCACAGTGGATAGACTCTAGCCTTGGAGTCAGGAGAACCTGAGTTCAAATCTGGCTTCAGACAGTTGACACTTACTAGCTGTGTGACCCTGGGCAAGTCACTCAACTTGGATTACCTCACCAAAAACAAACAAACAAAAAGACAAGCAAAAACAGAGAAATCTGGGAAGGCCTGTATGAACTGATGCAGGGTGAAGTGAATAGAATCAGAGGAACATATAGCAATATGGTATAGACAAACAACTTTGAAAATTATAAATTCTGAACATCATGATGGCTAACAATGATTCCAAAGGACTAATTATTAAACATGCTGCCCACCTCCTGATAATGAGGGGTAGGACTCAAATTTTAGAATGAGACATATGTGTATTTTTAGACATGGCCAGTGCAGATATTTTAGCTTGAGTATACATGTTTGTAAAACGGGTTTTGTTTTCCTTCATTCTGAGTTGGGGAGAGACATGGAAGAGGAGGGAGAGAAGGTGAATTTTTGCTGATTGGAAAAAAATAATTGAAAGAATGATGAGTGAAAAAAAGCTGTTGGTTTAGCAATTAAATGATCATTGGTAATTAAGGGAAGAGAAGTTTCACTTGAGTGATGTTTTTGTAAGCAGTTAGTGAGAGGAGAGGTTGTGGCAGCAGACAGTACAGACAGCATTTTTTTGGAATTGGAAAGGGAGGAGAGATAAAGGCTGATCACTTGCAGTGATTGTATGACCAAGTGAGGGTTTTTTAACATCAGAAAAAACCTAAGCATGGGCTTAGGGCAACAGGGAATGAGAGGGTGGGCAATAGAGAATAACACAACATGTAGAGAGAGTTTGAAAATTAGAGTGGGGAGGAGAGAAAATGATTATAGGGGCAATCTGGAAGATGGAAGGGGATGAGATTAACAAGTAGAAAGTGGCTTTTGTGAAGATAACAATCATTCTTCATTAGTGACTTGAGTAAGGGAAGAGAGAATTGGGGATGATTTCAAGGGATTGTGAAGAATAGAGTAGGAGGGAGCTACTGAGAAAGGACTCTTCTTAGTAAGGTATGAGGCTAGGTGTACTGTTGAGCAGCAAGGAAGCTTGAGGGCAAAAGAGAAAGTTTGGAACAAATGTGTGGAATAAGAGAAAATCAGTTGAAGAAAAGTAAAAGTATTGTCTTGCTACATCAAAGACCCAGTTGAGATTAGGTAACACAACTTTGTAATGGAGTTAGTATGGTTTTGTGTCTGCTTCTAGTGGCATTTGATGGCACATGAATAGGAATGGGAAAGTAGATGATGGAAGTAATCTGCTTCAGGTCAAAATTGGCAAAGGCATTCCCATGTAGATGAAATAACAGGTCTAGATCAAAAGAAAAAAAATTATAAATAACTTAAACTCTAAGAATAAAATGAAATAACATATCCTATTTGTCACTTAAGTGTCACTTTCAGCATCTGTACTTTATGTGATTTCATTTATGTGAGTGGTCCTCATAATAGTGAGGATTACAATCAGTTCATGCTTTCTATCTTTATTTTTTTCAAATACAATAATGAATATGAAATAACATTAAATCTCCTTGTAATTTGGTAACCCATTCCCAATGTTCACTTAATAAGCACATTTCATCTCGATTCCCAGATGCCTCATGTAGTTGCCTGGTTCCTGGAAACATCTTTCCTTGGACATTCTGGAATAGGCCACATTCTCAGGGCAGCTCTGAAGGATGATCTTCCTAGTAGAACCGTTTCTCTGGTTCCAAGTCACTTGCAGAAATTCCTAGGTAATTCTTCTGAGATCTACCAGTAACAGGACTCAGTACAATTTAGTACAGTCTCCTAAATTTGCTTTTCTAGTGACTGGTTCATGTAGTGAAAATTTTTTCAAACCTTATGGATCTAACCTTATTAACAAGAAAGCTATAAAAACAACAAATTAGGAACCCATAATTCACCTGAAAGCTCAGAAAATTTCACTTACTTTTTCAATCTTTTCCCAAACTCTCTACCTAATGTGGACAATGTCATCCACAGGCTGAAGGAAAAGGGCCTGACTTGGAAAATGAGCCCTCCCATACCTTAATATTGTCATACAGAAACTTTAAAATAGGAGAAAAAGGATATGATTGAAAATTATTTACAATCATTAGTACAATTTTACATATAAAAATCTTAATCCAATTTTGAGAACTTCTTACTAAAACATACTCAAGCTTGTATTTCCCATTAGACACATTCAGAAGCCAATTGAATACATACATACATACATACATGTATCTTATTTCTTAGATTTCTAATAGTCTAATCTTGTTGCTTTCTCAAAGTTTACTACTTCATTAAATTAAAAAAAAACTTTGACATCTTTGTCTTGTCCTCCTTTTTGAGGATATATATATAGATAGATAGATAGATATATAAAATCTTCATATCATCTTGAAGGAATGAGGTACTCTAAGGACCTGATCTTATACATGAATATAACAGTTAGCAAGGGGATGACAAACCTACAAATGCATTTACCTAGTTGCATAGGATATGGAATTGACCATAATACAGATTAAAAATAGTTAAGATCTTTCATACTTGTGTCCTATTTTAACTCAGATGTTTTAATATTAATCTATTAATTAATAGATTTAGTATTGCAGTGATGAAACTTCCATTGTTTACCTGCCCTGATTATAGAAATTTGCTATAAAAAGGAAAAGGAGGGACATGTTTATGACAGTATCAAGACTGTTCCCTCAAGGGCACAGGTCTGTGTCAAAGCTATAATGGGAAATCTCCCTTACCTCTCTTTGATTCCAGGCAAGAGTCAAAGTTAATAGCCAATCCCATAGCAAAATTCCACATTATTCACAGGATGTCATAGCTAGGCTGAGAATTAACCAGGTGGGAAAATTTCTTGTTAAGAAAGGAAATAGCATAATGGGAAACTGAGTTAAGAGGCACCAT